AAAAAAAAAAAAAAAAATTGGGTGTGGTGGCAGGCACCTGTAATCCCAGCTACTAGGGAGGCTGAGGCAGGAGAATTGCTTGAACCCCAGATGTGGAGGTTGCAGTGAACGGAGGTTGTGTCATTGCACACAGCCTGGGCAACAGAGCGAGACTCTGTCTAAAAAATAAAAAAATTAAAAAAATTTAAAAAAAAAGGTTAGTTTTGAGTATTGGGGGTATAAGACCGAAAGTACGTTCCCTTCACAGGGCTGGAGATGGAGGTTGGAGAGGGAAGAGAAGGGGGGTTGGGGAGGGGATGGGGTGCAGATAGGGATGCAGGTGTGGTAGGGCAAGACTCACAAGCAGAGGGGGATAAATAGATGGGGTATTGGGCAGAAAGGAAAAGAGGGGTAGTCAGTGGGATGTCAGCCTCCAGAAAAGCTGACAGTGATGTCCTACATCTGTCCCGCAGAGCTGGGTGTCCACACCTCGGTTCTGTCTTGAGCAGGAGGCGCTCAGCCTGGCCTCTCATCCCTACTCCCCTGGGGGCCTCCACACCTGCAGAGCCAACACAGGCCTCAGATCAGCACCAGCCACTTCAGTTCTGATTCCAGGTGGGGCAGCACAGCTCAGCCCCACCTGGAACTCAGGAGCTTCCTGGAGACAGGCAGGCCTGCTCACCTGGTATAGTAGATCCAGGTGAGGCCGTAGGTGAGGAGGAAGCCAGCCCCCATGAGAGCCCCCCTGATCAGGGTGAGGACGAGGGGCCAGGAGCCCTCCTGTTTCTCGGTTACACATATGCAGGAAGAGGAGCTTCCTGGGGGAAAGGAGAAGAAGGTAAGGTGCTGTTCCCAGGCCTCAGTCCCTCCCACCAACCTGAATACCTCACCAGGCTGTCCACCCTCAGCACCTGTCCTGCAACTCACTCTGCACAGAAAGGATGAAGGACAGGTGCTGGGAGCCCAGCGGGTGCTGAACCCGGCAGGTGAATTCCCCTCCCTCTCTAGCCCCTATGTTGGGCAGCTCCAGGATCCCAGACACTGAGGTCTGGGAGGGATTCAGGGCTTTTCCGTCCCGGAACCAGCTCAGTGAGGCAGGGGGGTTGCTGTCAACTGTGCAGGTCAGGAACAGGGACTGGCCCTCCACAATGGGCACCGACATGCCATTGCTCAGGATCCGCAGGGCTGGGAAAGAGATGCACAGCCAGGTGAGGGGAGCTGGGAGGCCCAAGTCTCCCTCACTCCTCCCACTGAGCTGTAAGAAGAAAGTTAAGACTGTGGTGAGTGCTGAGAATGGACTAGTCATGCATGAAAGGGTGAGGACTTGGTGATCAGGTCAGGCTATCAGAAAGAAGGTCGCTGAGCTGAGAAAAGATGGATGAGGAGGAGTTCTCATGTTAAGGAGAAGTAGATGGGCAGCTCAGGGGCAGATGTGCCAAGAACTGAGAGAAGAAGACGAGGAAAGAGGCTCCTATATCTGCAACCTGGCAGGGAGGACCCAGAGCTCCCAAGACACAATAATGGAGGTAGAGGAAGCAGGCTTAGATCTTTTGGAGCCTTGGGTGCCAGGTTGAGGGCCTTGGGCTTTATCCTGGAAAGCAGTAGGCGGCTATGAGCAAGGGAAACAGAGTAAGCACTGGATCTAGAAAGATCCTGCTGGAGCCAAGTAGGTCCGGGACTGGAGGGAAGTGGGATGGGAGGCAGGGAGGTTGGGAGGAGGCTGGGACAATGGGCCAGGGTTGAGCACGAGACTTGAGCTGGGCCTGGAACCAAGGGGATGAAGAGGGAAGTGATAATTGGTGAAGTAAACGTGTCAAGACTTGTGGACTCACGGAGCAGCTGATGAGAAAGGGTGCTATCTAGAGCGATGTCCAAAACAGCCCTGGGATCAACAGGGAAGGAGGAGCTGAGAAGCATCCGAGGGAGGTGGCTAAATGTGCAGATCTGTGCCTCAGAGAAAGGGCTGGATATAAAGTTGTGGGAGGCATCAGGACAGGGTCAAGGAGAGATGGGATCACTCAGGAATGTCGAGGGGAAGAACAGGGTTCTGGGACAAAGCTATGGGAGGTGGGAAAGTCGAAGGCTCCCGAAAAGGGTGATCAGATAGAGATGAAGCAGGGCATGCATCAGAGGACATGGGGGCAGGCAGAAATTCAAGAAAAGGGAACAGCGTGTCCTGAGTACTCAAACTCATCGAGACAGAAAAGTGGAATGGTGACTGCCTGGTGGCAGGAGGGGGAAGTGGAAAGTCACTGTTTAGTGAGTACAAAGTTTCAGTTTTGCAAGATAAAAGGAGCTCTGCAGTTTGGTTTCGCAACAATGTGAACACACGTAACACTGCTGAACTATACTCTTTAAAATGGCTGAGATGAAAAATTCTGTGCTATGTGAATTTTCTCACAATGAAAAAATAAATTTGAAACAGGGAGCAGAGAAAAGGGAGAAGCCAAAAGCAATACTAGGTTTGTTCATGCAAGATCTTAGTGACCGGGATTGGGGGGGCTGGGAGCAGGAGGGACCCAGACCCAGGGTCTTAGGGGTGAGGGAGGGTCTCCTCTCCCAGTGCTGAACCCTGAGCTGATAGAAGGCTCCCATCACAGCCCCACAGGGAAGAGGATCTTTCCTACCTGTGCCTGTGCCATTTCTGAAGAAGATGCTGATGGCGAGGTTCTGGGGAGCATCTGGGATAGAAAGATACAGTCCCAGCTTCAGAGGTGACAAGTGGGAGGGGCGTGGGCCTGGGAGGTACCCAAGGAGGGCCCACAGAAACCCACCAGGTGGGGATGGCTGTCCTTCCTGCACTACACACGAATTTTCCCTGGTTATCATTCTCTTTCTCTCTCTCTCTGTCTTCTACACACATACACACACACACACACACACACACACCCCTTACTCCCACTGCCCTTGGGGACCCAGTTGTGTCCCCAGCACCACTCACAGGAGACATTGAGCTGGACAGTTCTCTCCGTGGTCACCTGAGCTCCTTGGTGTTTCACATGACAGGTGAGGTTGGTGCCATGGTCCTCGGGCCTCGGGGTGAGGGTGAGCTCCGAGGAGTGGGTGGTTTCTGGGTCCAGGGGACTGAGGGCATCCCCCGTCCAGGAGAATGTGAGAGGTCGTCCCACTTCACAGGATCCTGGAAGGCTGCAGCTCAGCCTTGTGAGGCGGCCGGACTCCAGAGGCTCCAGAAAGTGGACGTCGGGTTTCTCTGTCAGGGCTGAGGAGGAGACAGGGAGATACCCGGGCCCCAGAGGCTTGAAGACGTACGGTGTGACCCCGAGAGTGGCCAGGCCTCAGGCCCTGACCTGCCCCAAGTCCTACACCTCCTCCAACCACCCCTGCCCAGGTCCTGTCCCTGTTCTCACACGGGGGTCTCCACGTCCCAGGGTCCTCTCCAAGGGCCCCCGCCATACCTGTCACCGCCAAGTTCAGCTTATTCTGAAGGTAGGTATATTTTACATTCCTTCCTCTCTCCACGCGGAAAGAATAGTTTCCCGTGTCCCCCATTCTGGCATCTCCGATGCTCAAGGAGCAGTTCTTCTTCCAGACATCCCCAAGGAGGCGGAATCGGCCCTGGGTCTCTGACTTCACTTCTCTGTTTGGGTTGTTTGTGGCCACAGGCTCACTAAAGTATGGGCTCTCCCCGTCCCGGAACCAGTAGACGTAGAGTAGGGAAGGGGAGTACCAGGAATTCCCGGGGTAAGAGAAGGAGCAGGGCACGAGGACGCACAGACCCTCCTGCACCGTCACCGACTTCTGCACTTGCAGCTCGTACCCTGGCTCCTCCTGCAGCTCGTACCCTGGCTCCTCCTGCAGGGACCCTGGGGGGGCACAGAGTCTCAGCTGCAGTTCCAGCCCCACCTTCTCACCCCGTACCTGTCCCTCCTCCCTCAGCTCGCTCACCCCCCCACAGCAGGGGCAGCAGCAGCAGGGCCAGCATGTCTCCATCCGCCAGGGCCCCAGCCCCGTCCCAGGTCCCTCTGTCAGGGAAGGAAATGCTCCAAATGTGGGGTGGGGCTGAAGAAGCCCCAACAGGAAGCCGGAGGGTGAGTGAGAGCTGTGGCCGCGCACAGAAGGAGAACTTGGGCATCACGTGCTGTCGGAGTGAGGCCGGGGCTGGGAGGCCGTCCTGCTCCCACCCCCACTGGACGCCGCAGGTGAAGATACTGAGGCCCCCCGAGGGGCTTGTCCAGACTTGTAAGTCTAGACTCCTGAGGTCACCAGGTCCCATAGCTGCAGCACTTTCCTTATGCACCTTTGTCTACACAGGAAGGGGAACACCACCTGGCCGCCTCCCTGGGAGTCAGGGCCTCTGGACCCTCAGCGAGATGGGAGAATAAATTCTTTATGACATGACAGGAGCTGTGGTGAGGGAAGCACGGGCTGGGGGTTTCAGGAGCGGAAGACTTTCCTCTTTCCAGAGGGAAGGCGAGTTCTCAGGGACAAACACATCAGGTGGACATGACCGGGTCCTTAGCAGTCAAGAGAGATGTGGTCCCCACCACCCCTTGGATTTGGGTCCCTGATCTCATCATTGTCCTTGTCCCAGGCAGCGTCAGACTCCAGCCCTGGTGTTGACAGCCAGGTGAGGCTTGAGAGCCGGGCATTGGAAATGTGGAAGTTGAGGACATGGAATACCAAGTGTGAACCCAGACCCTTCACCTACCGGCTGTTGAGCTTTACAAAAGTTGGCTACCCTCTCTGTGCCTCAGTTTGCTCAGCTGAAAAATGCAGACCACAATAGAATTGCTGTGTGGGGATTTAGTGAGGACTCATGTGTAAAGTGCTTAGGACAGTGCCTGGCCCTGAGAATTCCCTCATCCAACTGATGCTTCATGGGTACCTATGGTGCACCAGGCCCCCTGTTTTAGGAGCTGGAGATACAGGAAAGGATAAACCCTTGGGACGGGAAGGCAAGTCAAAAATCCCAGTGGAGGCTCCTCTGAGCACACGGCCTATGGGTACCCCTGCTCCACGAAGAGCAGGAAAAAAAGAAAAAATAATAAAAATAATAATAAATCCTAGTGGGAAGACAAACATTTAATATGAAATTAAAATACACAGTCTGCTAAAGAATGATATATTTTAAGAAAAAATAAAAACAGGAACACAAAAGAGGAATCAGTGAGGACTGATTTTTTATTTTATTTTATTTTTTCTGAGATGGAGTTTCGCTCTTGTTACCCAGGCTGGAGTGCAATGGTGTGATCTCAGCTCACCGCAACCTCTGCCTCCCGGGTTCAGGTGATTCTCCTGCCTCAGCCTCTCAAGTAGCTGGGATTACAGGCATGCACTACCATACCTGGCTAATTTTGTATTTTTAGTAGAGATGGGGTTTCTCATGTTGGTCAGGCTGGTCTCGAACTCCCGACTTCAGGTGATCTGCCACCACTTGGCCTCCCAAAGTACTGGGATTACAGGCGTGATGATAAAATTTTTTACAACATGGCTTGGGGGGCCACTTGGAAGAGATGACATTTGAGTAAAGATGCGAAGGGTGTGTGGAAATTAGTCCACTGGTATCCATTCCAAGGAAACGGGACATTTAAAAGTCCCAAGGTAGGAACACACGTGGTATGCTTGGAAAATAGACATATGCCAGCATGGAGGGGTGATCAGTGGGGAAGATGGTAGGAGGGTAGGTCTGGGAGGTGTCCTGGGTCTGATCATGAAGAAATTTGGGGGCTCTCATAAGAACTTCACTTTTTTCTTGTCCAGCTGGTACCATGGAGGGTGGCAAAGACAGGAAGAAAGAAGAAGAAGAAAGAAGAAAGAAGAAGAAGAAGAAGAAGAAGAAGAAGAAGAAGAAGAAGAAGAAGAAGAAGAAGAAGAAGAAGAAGAAGAAGAAGAAAGAAAGGAGGAGGAGGAGGTTCCTGCTGTACCAGAAACCCTTAAGAAAAAGTGAAGGAATTTCACAGAGCTGAAGATGAAGGGCCTGAGAAGGAAGTTTGCCCAAAAGATGCTTCAAGAGACAAGAAGGAAGCTTTTCTAGCAAAAAGCAAAGCACTATCACAAGGAATATAGGCAGATGGACAGAACTGAAATTTGAATGCAAGGAAGGCAAGAAAAGCTGGCAACTTCTATGCACCTGCAGAACCCAAATTGGCCTTTATCATCAGGATCAGAGGTGTCAAGGTGGGAGCCCAAAGGTCCGAAAGGTGTTGCAGCTTCTTTGCTTTCGTCAGCTCTCTAATGGAACCTTTGTGAAGCTCAACAAATCGTCAATTAACAGGCTGAGGATTGCAAAACCCCATATCACATGGGGGTACTCAAACCTGAAGTCAGTAAATGAACTAATCTACAAGCGTGGTTATGACAAAATCAATAAGCAAATTGCTTTGACAGATAACACTTCAATTGCTTGATAAATATGTAAAGATAGCATCATCTGCTATATGAGGATCTGATTCTTAGGACCTGTATGGCTGGAAAATGACTTGAAGAAGAAATAACTTCCTGTGGCCGTTCAAATGATCCTCTCCTCAAGGTAGGATGAGGAAAGAGACAACCCATTTTGTAGAAGGTGGAGATGCTGGCAACAAGGAGGACCAGATCAACAGGCTTCTTAGAAGAATGAACTAGAGTGTCTACCATGATTATTTTACTAACGTGGTCAGTTAATAAACAGTACCTACTTTCAAATTGAAAAGAAAAACTTGACTTTTGCTGAGTGTATTAGCCAGGGTTCTCCAGAGAAACAGAACCAATGGTGTGTGTGTGTGTGTGTGTGTGCATCTAGATGTGTATAAGAGACAGCATATAGGAAGAGATGTATTATAAGGAATTGACTCACACAATTATGGAAGCAGACAAGTCCCAAGATCCTCAGTCAGCAAGGTGGAGACCTGGGAGAAATGATGGTGTAGCTCCAGTACACAAGCTTCCAGGCTGGAGATCCAGGAAAAGCCAGAGTTTCAGCTTGAGTCCAAAGGCAGGAGGAAACTCAGATCCCAGCTTGCAGGTAATCAGGCAAAAGCAGTTCCCCTTACTCATGGGAGGGCCAGGCTTTTTGCTCTATCCAGGCCTCCAACTGATTGGTCAAGGTTCACCCACCCTGAGGAGGGCAATCCACTTTACTCAAAGTCTACTGATTTAAATGTTAATCTCATCCCAAAACACCCTCACAGGAACACCCAGAATAGTATTTGAGCAAATACCAGGGTACTCTATGGCCCCGTCAAGTGGAGACCTAAAACTAACCATCACCCTGAGCGAATTGTGAAGACAGGGGTTGAACAGAGAAGGGGCAGGATTTTATGTGTTTTTACCTGATCACTCTGCTTGCTTTCCTGAGACTAGACTCTGCTCAGCTGTTGCAATGCTTGGGATGTGAGAGGAGGGTGCTCAGGTCTGCAAGGACACAGTGGAGGTGGTGAAAAGAGGGGGAATTAACAGTGTTTGTCAACAGATTGGACGCACATGGGAAGAGAAAGGAAAGGGCCACAGATAATGCCAGTGTTTTTGAGCTGAGCTGTTGCAGGCTTGAAGCTGCCATTGAGAGAAGAGGAAAAGACTTCAAGAGAGGAACTGGGAGCTCAGCTTGGAGCATGGTGGGTTAGATGTGCTTATTAGACATACAAGTGGAGGGGGAAAGGAAAGGGGTTAGATCTGTGGGTCTGGAATTTAGGAAAAATAGGAAAAAGTTCTGGCTGGAGACAAAAGTGGGGTCATTCATGTTCAAAGAGTGTCTGTAGTCATGAGCCTGAGTGACATCACAAAGGGCATGAGTTTATTTATTTATTTAAGACATGGTCTAGCTGTGACCCAGGCTGGAGTGCAGTGGTGCAGTCACAGCTCACTGCAGCCTCAATCTCCCAGGCTCAAGCAATCCTCTCACCTCAGCCACTTGAGTAGCTGGGACTACATGTGCATGCCACTACGCTGGGCTAATTTTCTTTTTTTAAAGTAGAGACAAAGGTTCCACTATGTGACCCAGGTTGGTCTCGAACTCCTGGGCTCCAGTGGTCCTCCTGCCTTGGCCTCCCAAAGTGCTGGGATTATAGGTGTGAGCCACCATGCCCGGCCAGGGCATGAGTTTAAACAAAAAAGGGACAGAGACCATCTCCACGGCTTCCATAATCTGGATATCAGACCTGCTTTCCCACTGAAAATAACTAAAAATACAGGAAAGATAATTAATGCAAATCTTCTTAAAACCATAGAAGGGCTGACAAGAGAGAGAAGAATTTACAGTCAAAAGTGCAGGAGATGGTGGGAACCAAGAGAAGGAAGCAGAGCACCAAAATCACAGGTGCCCTCCAGGAATTTTGAATGTGGGGAACTTGAATTTGGAGTTTCCTAGACCTGAGGATCAGAGTCAGATTTTGCACTAGGTGTAGGGGAAGTACAGAGTTCGTGGTCACTCTCTCTTTCTGCACACCCCCAGGCTCCTTCTAGGGGAATGAAACTCAAGTGCAACCAACCCCACTCTCCTCCCCCACCCACCCTCTGGCCGCTGCCCCAGTCCACGGCAGGGAGGCCAGAAGCATCTCTAGGCAGGAGGAGACCCGAGTCCCTGCCCTGGAATCACCTCATTCTCTAACCCCATACTCTGATTCATCTATTAGGAGCGGGAACACGGAAGAGATAGGTGAGCGAGAAGGAAGTTGCATTCAGAAGATACAACACGTAGACACAAGCACTCTGGTTCAGTGAAAGAGGAAGATTCCCCATGATATCTCCAGCCTGGGTCCCCGGTCACCCTTCTGAGAGTATCTGAGTTGATGTGGAAATACCAACACAACACCACAGTCCTGGCGTCAGATCTCCAGCTCCAATGCTGAGTCCAATGTATAAATCTTGTAACCCTTAACAGACTTGCCCTCATCTTCACTTCCTCTTCTACACTTTTGGGTTTTCCAAGTTTGAGAGAAAGGCAGAGGTCTCCGATGGCTCTGTTCTCCTATGCAGTGGAGTTATTGTTTGTTTGCTTGCTTATTTGTTGACTGCCCACAACCCAGTTCTTCATCCACAGCCCTATTAGATTTTCCTTTGGAGAACTACCACTGTCAGCCCCACCCCTCGCTTCAGTGGGGAGTCTGTGAATTGTGCAGGGAGCACTGACA